CCCGTGCACCGTCTCTGGTAATGCTGCTGGCTCTGAGCCTGATCTGGAGAGCTATTGTTCTAGACCCTTTGTTATTTCTTTCCTCAGTATGTGGAATGAGCTACTCTCTAAGGAATCCTGTTGTAGGGAATCCTATAAAAGCCCAAAGTGGGAATACTGGAATACAGAGAAGAAAAGCAAAAATGTTTTCTGCCTACTTCTATTGTATTATTATTATTATTATTATTATTATTATATCATTTATTTAATTTATTTATCTGGTACAGGGTCTCACTACTCAGCTCAGACATATATTGATCCTCCTGTCTTAGCCTCCCCAGCACTGGGATTACAGGTCTGCACCATTGTGCCTGGCTTCAGTGGCCCATTCGGCAAAGGGCCAGCATAGCATGCAGTACTGGGGATTAAACCTGGATCCTTGTACTTGCTGGGCAGGTGCTTAGTCTGCTGAGCTATCTCCTCAGAGATATTAAAAATATCTATTAAAAAATAAAATTATTTACATATATGTAATAGTATGTCATTAAATTCTACTGTTTTTGGAACATGACATTTCATCCCATTAATATTTTTACCACAGAATTAAAACTATTAGTAGTAGTCAAATTAGAATCATGTTTGAGGCCCCATCATAACTGGATTGAAGATTAAGTTTATTATATATTTGTATTTTGACTCTGATTCTAAATCTTATAGTATTTCCAACATTTCTTTAACATTCAGTCTTTTTCTTTCTTTCTTTTTTTTTTTTTTCTACATAATTAGTACAGGGCCTTCAGGGTCTCACTACGCAGATCCGACTCCTAGTGATACTCCTGTTTTCAGCCTCCCAAGCATTGGGATTACAGGCATATGCTACCATACCCAGTCTCAGTCCCAGTCTCAGCGTACCCCAGGAATGGGGCCAGCATGCACTCCAGTCCCTGCATCTGCCTAAGCAGGTTCTTTAATCCACTGAGCTATCTGGCTGGCCCTCAGTCTTTTTCATAAAGCACTAAATTATAATTCTGTACTTTCAGCCTCTAAGTATAGATTAAAAGTATTCAGAGGGAGTTTTATTAAAGAATTATTCAGAGGTTATGATTGTGAATTGTGTAGTAATTTATATCGTAATGTTACAGGGATCACATGTCTTTCCTTCTTTGGTCAAAAATTGGAAATTTCCTGGCTGTTGGAACTGTGAAAGGAAATTTGCTTATTTATAACCATCAGACATCTCGAAAGATTCCTGTCATTGGTAGGTGATAACTGGAAACACCACTAAGTATTTGTGATGCTTTTTCTAACTGTGAGTTTTTTGCTGTCACGGGTTTCTCCAATTGCAAGGGAAATTTCGTAGTATGAAGGACCTCCCTGGCTGGGTCTCACATCTAGCATACAGGAAGAAACCCTCTTCTCTGCTCATCGGAAGTTTCCCAGAATAAGTAGGGTAGACGGTCAAGCCTGTGCCACTTGGCAGTAAGGTGTCAATGGCTTGGCTTCATCTGTCCTCTTCCCACCTGGATCATACCTCTGCATAGAACAGTTCACAAGAACATCAGTGTAGATGGGTCATATATGTTAATTCTGGTTGTTGATTTTCGTTAATTTAGTCATGGTATAATACGTGGTCCTTTAACCATACAGTAGGGGGACCAAAACATTGGGCTGCTGCTTGGATAGTGTATCCCCAAATTCCTAATTCTGACCCCTCACTCTGAACATCAGCTAAATGTGGAGGTTGATGAGTTCTGCTTGCCTTGGGGTGTGTGGCTGGGGGTATTTGTATCTGTTATTTAACTCTTTTCCAAACTGTTTGACATCTGATCACTTGGCATTTGCCCCCAAGTACCCTAAAAGAAGTAGTATTGATTTATTTTGATCTTTGTAACTAGTTAGTTGACTTCATTGGATGTAGGTGGCCAGAAAAAGTGTAAGATGCTATCAAGGAAGTAAACTCTGGAGGTAGTGTCATGTACAGAATATTTGATTTTATAGTACCTTTCTATTAATGACAGTTAAGCATTTCAAATTACTTTCACATGTATTCCTTGAATAATGTTGTTAATTTTAATGTTACAGTTAAACAGCAATGTGATTGATCTGTTGGAAAAGTAAAGCTAAAAATTTTAAATTATATTTATAATTTATTGGGGTGAGGGAGATGGCTTGGTAGAATAAGCACTTGCCTGGCAAGCACAAGGGCCTGAGTTCAATCCCCAGTTCTACAAAAATAATAATAATAATAATAATTTACTGTATAAACTATTTGACTTCAGTAGGCATTTTTTTATTCTCACTTCATTTGCAGATATATCCCACCAACTAACTTATAAACCCCAGAAATTTTGACATTTCAGGTATTAAAAAATAATTTTCTAGAGCATGATAATTTTTATGTCAAGCATTTGTCATATATACATCATGTTTTGTGTTCAATATTAATATTATATTATGCTCACATTCTTATTTAATAACTGTATAAAATGGATCTAAAAGATTTAAACTGCGTAGTTTGGGTCCTTTAGCTGAATTTATAGCTGCCTCTCACAGTTGGCTATAGTTTGTGGCTCTGCTTTTTCTTCTCTTAACTTAGTTTCCTAAAACCAAGTCCTCCCACTTCTGCCAGCTCCTGGTTGCCTGATTTTTTAGCTCTTCATGGCAACTAAATGTCTGTAACATTATTTCACCTTGCACTGATCTGTTTCCTTAAACTAGATAGACAGTTCTGGTTCCAGTTTTGTTTCTGTGTGAATTTTAAGTTACAACAGTTTAATTACAGGCTGCCAGGAAGCGGTTCCCACTTCAGTTACTGTAGTATCTGACCCAGGAGTGAATAGTAATTAATAGCCGAGAAGTGGCCAGAGCACAGAAGGGAGGCCGCATTAGCTGTTGTTAGTGATGTTAAGGCTGCCCTGAGCCCTGAGCACTGGAAGCCGAAGGGCCTCAGGGTACACAGGAAGAAGGGGGAAGTTTGTCTTATCTTCTTTTCTTTACCCAAGAAAAGAGTTAAGCCAGCACACCTCTAATCCAGCTACTCTGAAGGCTCAGGCAGGAGGATCAGGAATTTGAGAACAGTGTGAGCAATTGAATTAAAGACCCTATCTCAAAGGAAAAGAAAAGGAAGGGAGAGGGGAGGGGAAAAGGAAGAGTAAGCTGGGGTTGTAGCTCTTTGGTGGTCCCTGCTTAGCATGCATGAGGCCCTGGTTTCATTCTTCAAAGAGTATGTCTTTGGCCTCTTTCCACCTCTCTTTACACAGCCATTCTCCTCCTAGCCCAGTGTAGCACACAAGTCCTTTAATCCCTAAAGCTGTCTTGTTTCGCCAGTCTCTTGTGAGTGTCCCCTTCACTTTCGTGTACTGTTGCTATGCTTAAATACAGGCCACACCCTCCTCAATGAGCTGTCTAGGAAGCGCTTTGGATTTAATGTCTCCAAAGCCTCATGACCATAGTTTCCCTCTGTAACAGACTGTAAGATCACCCTTGACTCTTCTTCTTTCTCCTTCTCTTCTATCTAATTTGTCAGAAATCTCATGGGCTGCCCTTCCAAGCCTGTCCGGCTTCCAGCCTGTCCTTCACTGCCTCTGTTCCCATCGTGGTGTGGGCCTTGGGTATTTTCCATCCAAGCCTCTGCAGCCCCCTCCTCCAGGTCTTGCTGCTTCCGCTGTTGCTCTGCAGAAGCCAGCTGGCCCTCTTCATGCACACATTCTCTACTCTCGGATCAACCTCAGATTAAAACTATTCAGGAAAACTCTTGCAGCTGTCTTGAACAGGCCCAGGGCCAGCCAAATAGCTTAGTGGATTAAAGCACCTGCAAGCAGGCGCAGGGGCCAGGGGTTCGATCCCTGGGTCTGCCGTGCCAGCCCCACCCCCTAGGTGCCCTGAGATGGCAATTGAAACTGGGCGTGGTGATGCATGCCTGTTATCCCAGCACTGAGGAGGCTGAAAACAGATGGATCACTAGGAGTCCGATTTAGTAGTGAGACCCTGAACACCCTGTGGACCCTTCCCTAAAATACAAAAAAAAAGCAAAAAACAAAGACAAACAAAAAGAAGAACAAGCCCAGTTTGTCATTAGCCCTTAAACAATAGAAAAGAATAACTGTGTATATCAGATTAGATAGTGAAAGTAATAGCAAGATGATTTAAAATCTTATCAGAAATTTTGTGTCCTTTTACATAAGGAACTTACGTACCCTAGGTTTTGGTATCAGAGGGGAACCTTAAGCCAATCCCTCATGGATGCCAAGTAGGCCCTCTGCTGAGAGCTCTTCGGTGGCCTCCCATGAAAGCAAAGCCATGGCCCTTACCACACCCAGCCAGACCCACCGAGGTCGGCCCCTGCAGCCTCCCTGACCTCCTCTACTGCTCACTTCTCCAAGTTCCTCATACTCCAGGCAAACTCCTGCATTAGGGTTTCCTCACAGCACCAGTCACTAATGCCTGCCTTATGCATAGGTGCCATACAGGGGACTGTAGGATGCACAAAGAATAAATTAATCAATCTGCTCTCCCCAGCAGCTGATGTTGCACTTCCTATGTGCCTGGCCCTCCTGTTAGTGCTTTAACTCATCTGTTCTTCAGAGTCATCGGTCCTACTATTTTCTCTTTATAGGTGCAGAGACTTAAGGGACGGTTTAGTAAATTATCTAGGGTTTTGCTGTAAGTAAAACAGAGCCAAGATTCAAATCTCAGCAGCCTGGCTCCCAAATCTGTGTGCTTAGCCACTCTTGTTAATAAAATTAACCTTGGAACTCTTAAAGATTTATCTGTTCCAGAACTCCACAAATGCCCACACTGTCATGCATTGAGTACCTCTAAAAATATTGTTTTTGCACTGGTTAAAATGCTTGAGGAAATTTTTTCCTGATCTTAGTGGCTGTCTAATGTTAATCACTAGCTAAAAAACTCACCTCTTAACGCTAGCCTGTGTTCCTATTTGCACCTCTGTATTATCATAAATTGTCATGTCTTTTAGAGCAGTTCAGATTGCAAATGTTAGTTTTGCATCTCTTGAAGCCTTATCAGATCATGCAGCTGAATATAAGTAAAGATAACATCAGTACTTTGAAACTTACTTCTCTTAATACATCACCATTAGAAGTTTGGTTGTATGTTAAGGAACCAGAACAAGTTAGGGAACAGGCTATCTTCTTTACGTTAGGTCGTATGCTTACCTCCAGACAAAGCGTTAGAAATAGGAAGCTTATATATCATTGTCCTAACTTAAAACTTAGTCATAAGCTGGCTTTTATAAGAAATACTAAGTTTGCATAGACACTACTTTTGATGAAATTCTAAATTCTTTATCTGTTTAATCCCATGGATATCACCTAAACTTTAGGTTGGCATCACTGATTAGTTGTTTGCTTGTTCATTCGCTTGTTGAAATCTATGTGTCTGTACAAAAACTCATCTCTTTTTAGGAAAACATACCAAGAAAATTACGTGCGGATGTTGGAATGCAGAAAATCTGCTTGGTTTGGGCAGTGAAGATAAAATGATTACAGTTAGTAATCAGGAAGGTGACACGATAAGACAGGTACTAGAGGAATGTCGGTGTGGTCTGGTATGTTGAAATGTTTCCCCAAAATAAAGTTTGTCTGTCAAACTAATCTATAAAAGTCTGTGTGTGAGGTATGAATAGAATCATATTCATACTTGAATATTAAAACCTTTCTTTTTATGTAGCATTCAGATACTTTTCTGTAATATGAATGTTATCCAAATATCCTCCTGTCTGTATTTTCCTTTGTTTAATATTAGCATGGATTATTGGTGTGTGATGATCGCTGGACAGTATATTTGTGAAATAACTCTTGTTTTACACATGTATATTTATAATACAAATGTTAATACCTGGCAGGTGCTAGGCGAGGCCAGGCCTGCCTGATGCCATAGTCTGTATCTTTAACCAAGAGGTCAAATTGCTTCTTCTTTGCTCTTGTTAATCAGCACACAGTGGCTGGAGGGTCACTGAGGTACCCGTGCGGCTGTACAGGCTCTCCCAGGACTGGGCTCCAGGCATAAGGTTTCTCCTACTTGCAGGGAAAAGGAACTTCAGCTACCACGGTGGCCCTGTGTCCTGCTGAAACTTGTTTTGCTGACAAGTACAAAACATCTAGTAGCACCTGTCATTATGTGCAAGCAGAGTAGCATGAACAAAGAGGGGAACTTATTATAGCTTGTCCATGCCCTAGCTGAAATGTGAGCTTGGAGATAGAAGGTAAGATAGACAGAGAAGAAGGTTGGCTCTGTATCTGGGAAGTTATGAGTGTTCAGCAGAACTTGGTCTCTCTAGCCCACTGAGCAGAGCCTAGAACAACCAAAGTGATTCTTAAAACAGATTAATCTAGCATTATACAAAACTGTTTAGTATGACATAATTCTAGTAGCCTTGTAATTTGGATACCCTTTAGAAATACAGTGGTCGCTATACAATATAATGTTACAGGGTTCTTGTGCCACCAGGCACCCATACCAGACAGATAATTGGAGCTTTTCATCACTGAGTCCAGACATGGCATTAGAACAACTTTTCTACATAGAGTCCTGGGGCTCACTACCATTTAGCTATTATTTATATATAAGGTTACTACTTCCCCTTTTTTAAAATCCCTTTTTTTATCCTTAAGGATCCGTCTCAAATGGTACATATGGTTGAATATGATGGCCCCACCTGTAATTCCAGCACTCTGGGAGGCTGAAGCAGGAGGTCACAAAGTCTAACCCCACTGTGGGCAATTTAGGGCTTTAGTGAGACCCTGTCTCAAAATCTAAAGTTTATCTGTGGAAATAGTTTGCAGCCTTGGAAGAAGATTAGTATTCATTCGAGACAAAGGCCACAGGATAGTTTTAGCCCAGATCCTTCTGTTTATTTATTTATTTATTAGTACCAGGTATCAAACTCAGAACCTTGCATGATAGCCAAGCAGGCACTTGCGCTGCTGAGCTGTACGCCCGGCCCGATCCTTCTTTTATTCGTGTCAGTGTCTCACCTTTGGAGCTCTGAGTACCAGACTGCGCAGTACATAAATTTGAACCTCAGGCGATAAGGCAGGAATGAGGAAGGCAGATCTTTGATTACAGATTCTTGAAATGAACTTTTTGTTTTCCGACCCTGAGCTCAAGCCAACACAGACAGGCTTCCATGTTGTCTCCTTCGGCCTGCTGCCCTGGGGAGCAGCTGCTGGGGTTCCGCATCAGCAGTGCTGGCTCTAGCTTGGTGTCTACGGATAGTCCCTGATGGTCCCTTCCTTCTTTCAGGCTTCTCTTTCCTTTTCATAAAATGTGTGTTCTGTTTCATCCAGAATTTTGGATATTTGTGCCTGCAAAGTTGTAGCATTCTTCATTCCAGAATTAGAAATGCAAACAAGTCACCTGTTTTATCAGTATTCCAGATGACAGGGGAGAGGGTTGGTGGGTGCTGAACCGCGAGCCTCATGCTGAGCATGTGCTCTCCTGGGCTTTCCCATGGAGCCGCACCCCAGCTCCCCACAGAGAAAGCGAATACTGGGCTGCTTTGCAGGAATGTAATTTTTACCCCCACAGATGCAAGTGAGTGCAGAGCCAAGTGACATGCAGTTTTCCACAGTGAAGACTGATGACCAGACTTCTGCTACTGAAAACACAGTAAGAATTGTAAATCCAGTCCATGCCTACTCATTTGGATGATTTGGTGGAGTATACTGTTTCCTTTGCTTGGACAACTCAAATTTAGATGAATTAATTATGTTTACTGCTTAGTAAGTCACAGTAAGGTGCAGTCTTTGGGGCAAAAAAATTGTTTCTGCTGCTTCTGCTCCATGGAATTACAGCGTGTGTGGACAGCTTCCTGTGGCAGGCAGTGTCGCTGTGTTTATTCCAGCACAGAAAGGGGGAACCTGTGCAGAACTATTAATGAGATGTGGTGGCGCACATCTGTAATCCTGGCCACTGGGGAGGCTAAAGCAAGAAGTTCACCAGTTCAAGATACGCTGGGCAGTTGAGTGAGACCCTGTCTCAAAAAGGACAAAGGTGTTTCCTGCTGAGTTCAATGCCTAGTATTCCCCTAAAAAAGTATTATATTCTATGTGATTTTTAAAAAATGTTCACCCTATCTGATGTGGAGAACAGATATGTGAGCATTGTAAATTTTGTTTCTTTGATGCTTAGATATATCCCTCCCATTAATATTTTACTTTTCCAAAGTCCACATGATTTTCATAATTGACATGAATATGTGGAATGAAATAATATTTATTTCCTAAAAAGATACTTTAAGTGACTTACTGCCAGTTGTATCTTCGAAGCAAGGAAATATATCCAAGTGTCTCTCCTATCAAGCTCAGAGAATGAATACAGGCTCCTCTGTATTCATTACACCCTCCCTGGAGAATTGTTGTTAAGCATCAGCCTCTGTAAATAGCAGCCAGCTACCAGCTCGGTCACACCGACCTGCAGGTGATGGAAATGGTCGTGTAGACAGCCTGCCGGGTTAGCCCTTGAGGCCCAAAGCAGGAGAGCCTTCTGGAGGGGGGATGAGCCTCTGAACATGAGTTCAGCTGCGGTGAAGCTGGGACATCCTTACATTCCTACGTAGCACAGCACAGTCATCTAAAAAGAAGTGTAGCACATTCATAAGGCTATTCTACAAAGGTTTTTGTCGTGCTGGGGTTCGGCTTGGTTTCTTTTTAGGTCCTAGGGATAGAGCTGAGGGCCTTGCACGTGCTAGGCAAGTGCTTTATCAGTGCACTGTATCCCCAGCCCCACAGAGATATTCTATTATGTTCCGAAGGATATTAAAGACAGATAAGTACAAGGATCCTCACCAGAATATATATGAGTAAAAGCATTCTGGGGTTAATCACATTGTCATAGTAATTACAGCATTTAGATGTCTAACTTTGGCTTGCGTTCATAAATTGGATTCAGCTGTTTGGATTTGCTTCTCAGTCTTTTCGTGAAATTCTGAGAAATTCATTTCACAATCTCCTAATCTTCTCTGGCAGATCAGTGTGGTGACTGGCAGGAAAACGTTGTTTCTTTTCTATCTGAATGATCCAGATAGTTCAATGTATATGGAATTTCAGCAGTGTTATGGCAACATTGTCTGCTATAGTTGGTATGTACAAAACCTCATTACAGAAAGATAGCCACATGCTTTTCCTTACTAATTATATTGAAGTCTATAACATTCTATGCTGTATCTTGTATTTTCTGAGTTACAGTCTGACTTAATGCATGAAAATACCTAGCATATTATCTGACACATTGTGGGCCCTTGATAGATTCTATCCTATAATTTCTTAATTTGAGAGCCATGCAGACTTGCCGTGGTGCCAATAAGAGCCCACCCCCTCCCAACCACATTGTTGTTTCTGTTGCAATAGGTATGGAGATGGCTACATCATGATTGGTTTTTCACGTGGAATTTTTGTGGTCATTTCCACTCACAAGCAAGAAATTGGTCAAGAGATATTTCAGGCTCGTGGCCATAAAGATAATCTAACCAGTATTGCAGTATCACAGACTCTTAACAAAGCTGCTTCATGTGGAGATAACTGGTAAGTTACACTCATGTAGTTCTAGGCAAGTCACTGTAGGGACTACTCAAGAGAATCAGCAGGACTTGGGTGACAGGAATCTGACATTCCTTCTCTCAGTTACTCCTAGAACATACGTACAGTTGAAATTACTTTTTTTTTTATAGTTGAAATTTCTAAGCTCCCTTTATCTGTGTCCTGCCTGTAACACTCAGGACACTGGTATACATGGAGAATGCAGAAAAGCAAAACTTAGAACCTGCAGTTCTAGCTGACATGGAGTAAGCACGTACTGCCCTGTCTGTACCACTGCAGGTCGCTAACAAACTGAGGCAGAATGTGTGCAGCTGCTGTTTAAAGACTCTGCAAAGAAGACTGGGCGTGGTGGTGCACGCCTGTAATCCCAGCGCTTGGGAGGCTGAAAACAAGAGGATCACTACGAGTTTGATCTGTGTAGTGAGACCCTGTAGACCCTCTACTAAATACATTTTTTTAAAAAGGACTCTGCAAAGGCTGCAGTAGCAGGCAGACTGTGGGGGTCCAGGCTTCAAAGCACTGCTGAGCCAGCAATGAGCTCACATTTCTACCCCAGTCTCCTGGCCAGGACACCCGGAAGCCCAAGACCTGGAAGCAGCCACCAAACCACTGCTCTGAAGGGGTCCTCTGGTTATCTCCTGAACATCAGGATAAAGAACTCCTGGCACTCAGAGACAACTGAGGACTCTCCTGTTTCCTTTTTTTCTTATTCTTTGTTCTTCTGCCCCAGCCACTGAGCAGCCTCAGTGGAGCAGTGGCAGCCACAGTACCCAGAGCACTAGCAGAAGGAAACTGTCCTCGCTGCCCTCAGGAGCTGTGGGGTCAGGAGGTGGGCTGTGGCCACATTGCTGGTGATTTCCTGTCTCCTCACTGCTTGGCCACAGGGCCGGCAGAGTTGTAGGAAGTACAAGGTAGAACAGGGTGGGCAGAATCTTCACGCTCCTGGAAAATCAAAGAAGGGAACCCTACTGTCCCAATTGACTTCCAAGAGGGAAGAACCCTGGAAAGTTATCTGGTCAAGATGCTTCTGAACTCCTGGGTTCACCCCTCAGCTTGTAGGTGTACATCTCATCCTAAACAGAATCTTAGCCTGGCTCCCACACAGGCCAGAGCAGGCCAGAGAGAGACACTGCTGAATATACTAGAAAGCTTGGAAAATGGAACTGACACTGAAGTGATAACCCACAAAAACCTGCAGAAACTTGGGATCTGAAGGTCTCTGGTGGGTACATTGCCCACTACAGCAAAAATACTGATCTTCTCCATGGGAATTAAGTTAGATGCAGACTCTCAAAGCATAATATGCAGAATGTCTAGTCTGTAACCCTAAACTAATTCCACATATGAAGAATCAGGAAAATCACAACTTGGGAAAAGGCAGTCAGAAAGCCATATGATACCAAGGTGATACAGATAACAGCCCAACTGAAATGCTCCGAGAAAGGCTAATGTTCTTAAAACAAATGGAAAGATAGGATGTCCAAGAAAAGAAATAGAGACTAAAGAAAAGCCAAGTAGGAATTTTAGAACTGAAAATTACAGTAAATGTGGTAAATGAAATATGCACAGAGGGAGAAGAAGATTGAGAAAGAGAGAACAGTGTCAGAGGCCTGTGAGTGAATACCGAGAGGCCTAACATTTATTTGCATCACTGACTCCCAGAAATGATGGCTGGAGACTCTGTTATAGCAAGAGACTGAAGTCTGCATATTATAGAAGCCCAACAAATCCCCTAAGAAAATAAATTCAAAAAACACCAGGCTCAGATACATCATAAGATTTTCCTCTTTTAGCCAAAGAGGAAAATCTTTTGCAAGTGGCCAGAGAACATTTTGAATGGCCGTGAGTTTCTCATCATAAAGAACCCAGAAGGAAAAGTCACAGCATTCTTAAAAGTTCTAAGGTAGGGGCTGGTGAGATGGCTCAGTGGTCTAAGGCACCTACTTAGAACAAACTAAGCTAAACAAAGCACAGGGACCGCAGTTCAAACCCCCAGCACCACATGCCAGCCTGCCCCGCCCTCTGTTGGGCTGAGCTGGC